AGCCAAATATTAGACCATATAATAACAACACCAGAATTACAATTACAACTAAACATCATATTTTATACAATCGAACAATTCCAAATAAAAAATGGTTAGATGAAATTTGGAAAATTATTTTGGAATCAAATACAAGTTTAGAATTATTTTCTCGATATCCACTTTTAGAGGTTGTACGCCCGACAAGAGAATTAGTACTTTTAGATTTAAAACGTCCATTACTTGAATTACCACAAAACAATATGTCACATTTTGAGAAATTGGTTACCATTCTTCAAAATTTGGGAATTAAATTTACTGATCGTTCCTGGGATGCAAAGTTAGGCGATTACATTCTTAAATGGACTCCAGAAACGGTTTTGAAATCATTTGGTGATTTAATAAAAAAAAATCTTAGACCGTTTACAAAATTGCCAAAGGATGAAATTAAAGCTATAAGACATTTTATCATTGAAAATTGGAACGATTTTTCCACAAGTAATGGTACTAAAGGTAAATATTTTCGGATAATTGTATTTATTGTATTTTACAAATTTAACTATTATAATTTAATGATTATAATTTAACATCTTTAATAATTTTTAATAATCTTTAATAATCTTTAATAATCTTTAATAATCTTAACGTTTTCAGTTAAATCCGAATTTCGTGAAGTTTTATGCAAATTACCAGTTTGGCCCACAGCTGCAAATGGTGAAAAATTCAAAAGTCCAAATGACGGATTACTCCCTCCGAAAAAAATTGAAATACTATCACCCAAATCAAAATGTTATTCGGATAAACTTTTCCTTAATGTGAAAAATGATGATTATCAAAAAATTTTGGAAGCATTAAATGTACATTACGTAGACCTTGTTAATTATTTAAAAAATCATTACACATTTCCAAGAGAATATGATGACAATTATTTTAATTTTATTAAAAGTGTTTTAACTTCAAGAAATTTTCATGAAATCCAAAGTTGGATCGAAAGCAAACCTGTAATTCCAAATAGATCAAACAAGAGACTTAAAACTGCAAGGGATCTTTATGATCATAAAACTTATTTATTTCGAATAGCTTTTGAAGGAACTGATCGTTTCCTTCATGATGAATTTCAAAACAATACAACTTATTTAAACATTATGAAAAAAATGGGATTTAAATATCAAGTAACTAGGCAAACGTTTCTTGAATGTGCAAGAGCTATTCAAAATCAATCTCAAGATGAACCAAGATATAATTCAGATGAGTTGATTTATCGTGCCACAACTGTAGTTCATTATTTATATGATAATATAGATGATTTGAATTATTCTGATGCTGAATACGAGGAATTGGCACGTATATACTTTATTCCAGCAGAATCATCTATCCAAACTCCTTATTCTGAAAGAGCTGTGACACCTAAAAAATTTGAATGCCTTAATTCATTATGCTTACCTAAATATAAAAATATAGGTAATTATTATTTTTATAAATCTAGATACAATATATATTACAATATTTATTAATTAAAATTTTGAATTTTAAATTTTTAATGTTTTTTGAAGCTTTTACGCAAGTTGCATTGTTTCACAGTGCTGTAATTCCTAAACCTACATCACCAATATTAACCAAATACAAAAAATTTGGAATGCCAAGTGCTATTCAAATTCTAGAACATTTACGTGAAGTAGCCTTCAAATTACAAAAATCTGATCAATGGAAATATGAAGAATACCTTTTCAAAAGAATGGTTGATGAAATTTATAACGCACTTAATGAAGAATGTGAAAATGAAGATAAAGATTCTGAACTTGCTAAATCTTTTATAAAGGATGAAAAAATTTTCTTAAATATATATCCAAATGAAAATGCCTTTGAAGAATCGAATTGGAAGGCGGCAAATGAATTAATTGTTGGTGTCAGCTTATCTGAAGAAGGATTTGTAAAACCTAGCTTGGCGAAATATAAAAAATTGTTGGAAATCGCAGGTTCTGGTACTCTAAGATCTGGTGAAGATTTGGATGATGATTCAGATCAAGATGATCAAACTGAAAAAGTGAATCCACAAGGTGAAATACTTTTGAATTCACTTCAACAATCATTAAAAAATGGATTATCTGAACCTCTCAACGATGTGATATTTACTGTAAAAGATCAAAAAATTGCTGCAAATAGACTTGTACTCGCATGCGCAGCTGATCATTTTAAGCATTCGTTCTCGAGCAAGTATAGAGATGGTAACCCATTAGAAATTGTTACTATTCCTGGGTATGACATTGAGCCCGATTCATTCAGAGTTTTATTGAATTATTTATATGGAATATCACTTGATACTGCTATTATGCCTACAAAAAATAAAAGTGGAAATAAGTATAATTATAAAAATATTGAAGAAGATTGGTCTCAAGAACAAGAAAATGAAAGGCAGTACAAGATTTTGCTGGATCTTTTAGAAGCATCTGATTATTATAATCTAATGAATTTGAAAAATGAAACGGAAAAGAAACTTTTTGAATACGTGAAGCTTTGTAATGTTGATGAAGTTCTTGATTATGCAAGCAATTATAATGCTGATTCGCTAATCAAATATTGTAACAAATTTATTGAAAATAATCAATCATTTTTATAATTTTTTAAATAGTCTTTTCTTGCGTGAATTTCTAACATTTTTCTTATTAAATAAATTTATTTGTAAATAGAAATTATTTGAGAATTTGATAACAATTATTAGACCTAGTTCCAAATAAAATGAAGCTTATTTTCTTAATATGATTTTTATAGTTTATGCTATTAAATTTAAGAAAACGCTGGGTTGTTAACAAGCTAATTAGAGTTGGACCAAAGTTGACTAAACTTGATTTCTGAGCAAAGTTCTAATCATCACAACATATGATTGCTCGAGAGCGAAACGTCTAATATTAAATATTTACCCCGGCTCAATCACAGACTGACATGCCCGGATTGGAGACGCCGGTTATTTATTAAATTTAGTAATAGTGATTGTCAAATTATTTACATATTGTTGCTTTAGAAGCATATTTAGAATGTGTTACGAGCCTTATTTTTATTGCGCCTAATATTTGTTTTATATTATCTTGTACAATTCGATATTTGAATTCTTGGAGCTTAATAAGTTTGTACACATTTGGCGTTTGGAATAATCGTTGTAACGTTGGTATACTTCCTAATAATTGGAAGATTTGTGGTTTTTGAGTTGGGTAAAAGGTTATAGTATATCTCCGCTGTAAGTAATTTTTAATTTTTTTTGCTACTCGATTGTATAGATTTCGTATTCTGTTTAATTCAGTATGTGTAGTTATTTTCCATTTTCTTGCAAGGAAGATATCTTGCAGTTTAATTTTTCAAAGGATTTATTTAGTAAATTTTTAATTTCTTGTTCAGTATATTCTTTAAATGTAATTCTTCAAATTGTGTTTCTTCTTCTGAATTTAATTCTTTTTCTTTTTCATATTTTATATTTAATAAAGTGTCATAGTGTTCGATTGTATAAAATATGATGTTTAGTTGTAATTGTAATTCTGGTGTTGTTATTATATGGTCTAATATTTGGCT